AGGCTGGGGACCCCGCTCCCCGCTGCTCCGCGCCGGGGGTCCGGACGCTCGTTGGCCCGGACTCGCACCTCTCCGTTCTCAGGCCCGATCTCCCTAGTGCTGCCGTTTTCTTCTTCTTCTTCTTGCTGGAATTTTGAAATAAAATGCCAAATACACGACCTCGGCTGTCCTCTCCAGTGATGTCACCGCTCAGGGACGCCGGGGTCCTAACCGGGGTTCAGTTTCCCTCCGAGCCCCCAATGCCCCGGCGATTTCTCTGACGGGAAATTCTTCCTTCATCAGAAACTGAGCTTCCCGCCCCCTCCAACCTGCGCCTCCCTCTACCCCCATCCCCATCGTGGGGACAGCCCCGCTGCGCATGCAGTCACCGGGCCACACTTAGGGTGCAGAAGAGAATGTGGGGGTGCACATAGTCACAGGTCAGGGAACCCTCTTACATTGCCTAGTGAGAGATCAACTCTCACCAAAAGAATTCCCTAGTCCAGTGATGGCGAACCTATGACACGCGTGTCAGAGGTGACACGCGAACTCATTTTTTTGGTTGATTTTTCTTTGTTAAATGGCATTGAAATATATAAAATAAATATCAAAAATATAAGTCTTTGTTTTACTACGGTTGCAAAGATCCAAAAATTTCTATATGTGACACGGCACCAGAGTTAAGTTAGGGTTTTTCAAAATGCTGACACGCCGAGCTCAAAAGGTTCGCCACCACTGGCCTAGTAACTGACCTTGGGGAAGTGCGTTCACGGCTCTGAGCCTCCGTCTTCTCGTTTTTAAAATAAAGAAAACAGGGCCCACCCACCACGGCCAAACGGTGAAATGATTTACATGTAAAGTGCTTGGGACCAGGCGGGGAGGGTAGAAGGCGCTTACAATTGCTCTTTTTTTATATCTACATATTTTTTATTGATTTTTTTTACAGAGAGGAAGGGAAAGGGATAGAGAGTCAGAAACATCGATGAGAGAGAAACATCGATCAGCTGCCTCCTGCACACCGCGCACTGGGGATGTGTCCACAACCAAGGTACATGCCCTTGACCGGAATCGAGCCCGGTCCGCAGGCCGACGCCCTATCCACTGAGCCAAACCGGTCAGGGCAAATTGCTCTTATGTTTGACAACTGAGTTTGCCTTGTCATGTTTTAGCTTTCTCCAAAAAGTTGTTCAGTTGTGTGCGAAGATGGATATCTGTAAAGATGGGATGCATTTAATTATTCAGTCCTTAGGGGACTTCATGGATTCAGAAAATTGACTTTCTTCAACATATTTCAAGCCAGATTCCTGCTTCAGGATGTTCTCCACTTGAAATAATAACTGTGCACTAAGTGGCAAGAACCAACATGTGAATTTCCATTTAATTTAGTAATCAGGATCCTGGAAAGATTCACAGACATATATTTGGGTTCATGTACGAAAGCCACTTTGCAAATTTGATTTTCTGAATCTAAATGTTTTCATTTTGCTAATCAAGTTCAACAATATTGCATTTAGATGTGAACATTTTTATTGGTTTCTAAAAACAAAACAAAACACAACACCACCAAAAACTTATCCATAATGGGTCCCCAAACAATCAGATTAGTCTAATTGTGAATGCTAAGTACCAATTCTAAGTTAATGAATGACCAGGAATATTAATAAAATCAATTCTGTTCTATTCAGGAACACCTAGTATCATATAAAAATAGTGGTGATAAAAAGTATTCACTTATGTACTTAACTTCCTTGTTATAAGAAAAAAACAACAATAAGATTAAATTGGACCCTCGCGGGTTTGGCTCAGTGGGTGTCATCCTATGGACTGAAGGGTCCCAAGTTTGATTCAGGTCAAGGGCACATGCCTGGGTTGTGGGCTCAGTCCCCAGTAGGGGGCGTGCGGGAGGCAGCCAATCCATAATTCCCTCTCATTGATGTTTCTCTCTCCCTTCCTCTCTGAAATAAATAAAAACATATTTAAAAGAAAAGATTAAATTGAGGCCCTGGCGGGTTTGGCTCTGAGGATAGAGCATCGGCCGGTGAACTGAAGGGTCCTGGGTTCGATTCTGGTCAAGGGAATGTAACTTGATTTCGGGCTCGATCCCCAGTAGGGGGCGTGCAAGAGGCAGCTGATGGATGTTTCTCTCTCCTCGATGTTCCTAACTCTCTATCCCTCTCCCTTCCTCTCTATAAAATCAATAAAATATATTTTAAAAAGAAAAACACGATTAAATTGGGGCTTTCAGAAAAGAGAAAGCTAAAGGGGCTCATCACCACCAAACCAGTATGACAAGAACTATTCCAGGGACTTCTTAAAGAAGAAAATAATATATTTGCAAATCATATACCTGAGAAGGCCCTCCCTCCTCTGTTGTGTAGCTGTGTGGATTTGGGCAAAGTGGCTCCCTCTCTGGGCCTCAGTTTCCCCATCTATAAAATGGAGATGTTAACAGCACCGCACTCATAGGCTCGTTGGGAGGATTAAATAGGACGGTTGTGCCTGGGACACGGTCCAGGACCAGCTGGCCCTGGGGGCTCTGGACCATGGGGGCTGCCAACAACCCAGACACTAGAAGTGGGTGTGACTGAGACAGGAGCAGAGGGAACTGGCCTGTTCCAGGCACGACCCCGGGAGCCAACCACCCCCCCAGTGGCATCTTGTTCTTCCTTCTCCACCTGCTCACGGGACGTGGCTGCCAGTGTATCAGTTATCGACTGCCACGTAACAAGTCACCCCCCAGATCCTCACAGCTTCCCATAACACACATGGACTGTCTCCCATGGTTCCTGAGGGTCTGGATCCAGGCGGCTTCGCCAGGTGGTTCTGCCTCCGGCTTCCCCAACCTCCTGGAGGCTCAACGGGCTAGAGCAGTGGTTCTTTGGCTGCACGTGAGAGTCACCTTCGCCAGGTGGTTCTGCCTCCGGCTTCCCCATGAGGCTCAGGCAGGCGTAACCAGGACCACAACCACCTGGAGGCTCAACGGGCTAAAGCAGTGGTTCTTTGGCTGCACGTGACAGGAAGGGAGGAGAGATAGAAACACCAAGGATGAAGGAGAACCATTGATTGGCTGCATCCTGCATACCCCCAACTGGGGGCCAAGCCCATAACCCGGGCATGTGCCCTTGACTGGAATTGAACCCGAGACTCCTCAATCCGCAGGCCGACGCTCTATCTATTGAGCCAAAACAGCTAGGGCCAGCCATAGCCTTTATAACTTACTCTAAGACAGTGGTTCTCAACCTTCTGTCCCTTTAAATACAGTTCCTCATGTGGTGACCCAATCATT